CTCATGCCCTGGCCAGCTAGCTCAGTTGGTTAGACCATCGTCCTGATGAGCCAGGGTCGCAGATTCGATCCCCAGTCAGGGCACATACACTTATCAACGAATGCATAAAAAGGTGGAACAACACATGGACATTTCTCGCTCACTAAAACCAGTCAATAAAAAATAAAGATACATTTTACCAGCCTCGGTGCTAACATCAGCACCAGGATCGGGATGCTAACTGGATAGCCCTTGCAGGGATTGGCTCTAGAGCTTATGTCCGCAAAGGCCTGTCACAGGGGGCAGCCCTCATGACTTCTGACACCCTGTGGAAAGGCTTCGTTTTACCCCAAAACACACAGAGTTCAGGAGGAGTGAGCCGCCGTGGAGGGGCCTCCGCCCAAAGCAGGGGCTCCTCCTCCGCCCGCCGCTGCCACCTGGCCGCGTGGAGTCACCCCTTCCCGCCCAAAGTGACGACCAATCAAAAAAGAGTTGTGCTTTTTTTGAAAATAGCCAATCGCCATTGGAGTCCCCGCCTAAGGCCGGCCCCCAGGGCAGTCAGAGCCAATGGCAATTGTGCGCATGGCGTGCCAATCAGGAGTCGGCGCAGCGTGGAGGGCGGGCAGTTGGGCGCGTGGCGTTGGACCGAGTGGACTAGTGGAGGTGGAAGCGCGGCTGAGGCCAGGCAGTGAGCGCCATGGTACGAAGGGCCGTGTGGTGCGGGTGAGGGGGCGGGGTGGGGGCCTGAGTGGCAGCAGGGCAGGAGGGTGGCCATCTTGACCCCGCTGGGACCGGGGCGCTACCCAGGGTAGTGGTGTCCGGAGCATGTTGGTCCAGGTCGGGCGCCGGACATGCTCCCGGTTCACACCCGGCCTCCCTCCCCCCAGCAAATGGGAGGTCGTGGGGCGCTCATTAAAACTGCTGGAGTCGCCCTGACCCAGTGGTTCTCAACCTTCCTAATGCCGCGACCCTTTAGTGCAGCTCCTCATGTTGTGGTGACCCCCAATGTCATTGTTACAAATTGAACATCATGAAAGCATAGTGATTCATCACAATATGTAATTATATATGTGTTTTCCGATGGTCTTAGGAGACCCCTGTGAAAGGGTCCTTCAACAGGTCACTGTTCAATTCCTGGTCAGGGCACATGATAGTCAAGGGCATGTACCATCCCCAGCAGGGGGTGTGCAGGAGGCAGCTGATCAATGTTTCTAACTCTCTATCCCTCTCCCTTCCTCTCTGTAAAAAAATCAATAAAATATATTTTTAAAAAACACACAAACCTGCTGTAGTAAGTCATGCCTGGGGGCCATTTAACCAGTTATTTCGGGAGACATGGTGTGATCACGCTTACCAGCGGCGACTCTTGGGTTTAAATATGTAGACTGTAGTTGTAGATTCGTAATAACTTTTTAATCTTTATTGTTGAAAGTATTACATTGACCCCTTCTAGCCCCCTCCCCCTTCACCACCCTATTGTTAGATATGTGATATTTATGTCGGCGAATTTGCTGCAATGGTTTTTTTCAACATATGGCCTATTCACTAAAATTTGTTAAAAATGTCAGTGAATTCATAACAGAAACCCCTGTTGATTTAGTTATAAGCAAATCTTGGTTATAAGCATTTTAGAATTAACAATGTGTGACTTTTCACATGACAAACGGACCTGAAATTTTGTCCATTATATCCGAAGTTTCTTTAAATTGAGGTCCACAAAATTGAGGGTTTACGGTAAAAACTTTCTGTGGTAGTGTGGTGCCAGCCCGTCCCTATAGTTTGGACATATTTTCAGACAATAATGTTGTAAAGCATAGATACTAGTAAGTTTTATTTCTTCCACCAATTCAATGCCAGAGAGAGCATTTTGTGCCAAATAAGGTCAACGGAACCAGCAACAAATTTACAAAATGAAACGGTGAGTGCTCCGTTTCACACCCTCTCCATGTTAAATACCGTCTCTTCTCATGAATGTCAAGAAAGCTCCTTAATCTGACCACTGCTCGAACACGCCATAGCTATAGCCACATTGCCATGACAGTCCCCTGTGTTCCTTTATGTCTCGATATTGATTTCTTATTCCTACTCATCCTCCAGCCACCTTTTACTTCCTCCTGACAGTCCCTATGATGGTGTTCATTGCCTTACCCAGCCAGTTTCTCCTGGATGTTTCCATTCGATCCACATCCCTGTACATGGGGCATCATCATTGACAGCTTCAATGTTCTGTCTCCGACCCCGTCGGAAGGAAGGAGGAGGGTGACAGTGTTCATAAAGTCTGCAGTTGGGTACAGTGATGTCCTAGGCCAGCCGTGGGCAAACTATGGTCCGCGGGCCATATCCTGCCGTTTGAAATGAATAAAACTAAAAAAAAAAAGACCGTACCCTTTTATGTAATGATGTTTACTTTGAATTTATATTAGTTCACACAAACACTCCATCCATGCTTTTGTTCCTGCCCTCTGGTCCAGATTAAGAACCCATTGTGGCCCTCGAGTCAAAAAGTTTGCCCACGTCTGCCAGTCTGTCATTTTTGTTTCGGTGGGAAATA